TCCTCCCAGCAGCCCACAGAGAGACAGGACCATTCCCATCCAAAGGATGACTGTTGGGAATGGATTGCTTAATACAACGGTGCCGGCCAAGTACGGGCTGGGAGGAAGCTGAGGGTCAGGTCCCAACCTCCACAGCCTGCCCATCCACTGAGGCTTAAATCTATCCATCCCTTCTCCATAAAGCAGTGGTTCTCAACCTTCCTAATGCTGTGACCCTTTAATTCAATTCCTCATGTTGTGGTGACCACCCAACTATAAAATTATTTTCATTGTTACTTCATAACTGTGATTTTGCTACTATTATGAATTGTAATGTAAATATCTGTGATTTCCGATGGTCTCAGGCAACCTTTGTGAAGGGATTGTTCAACCCCCACCCCCACAGGGGTCGTGAACCCATTGCCATAAACACTATCCCCTGAGTAAATAAAGGTCCAGAGAGGACCCATCTCTGCTGCAAAGAAATTATCATTTTAATAAAATATCCACCATCCAAAAACTAATGACATCCTCCATTGAGAAAACTGGACAGTGTAATAGAGAAGAAAATAAAAGTCATGAGACTTTAGTACAGCGGATATTGCCAGCATTTCCCAACCTGTCCAGCACGCCCACATGTGTAGCAAGTTAGATCTCCAAAGTGGTACCGCAGATACAATTTAGTGGTCTGCATCTGCTTTAGTCCTGTGATGTTCCCATATCCCACAGGACCAGCCAGTCAGGGCAAGCGAAGGCATCCTTTAGTAACAAGCCCTAAGGCTTGCTGTTGTGTAAGCAATTTACTGCCATACGAGCGATACAATGTTCCATCCTGGAAGGCAGCTCCTTAAGACACAGGTTGTTCTAAGCGATACAATGTTTCATCCTGGAGGTTAAGACACAGGTTGTTCTAAGTGATACAATGTTCTATCCTGGAGGGCAGCTCTTTAAGTTCAGAAGTAGGAAATCCCTGAAACCAGCCAGATTCCCTTGCCCCCCCCCCCCCTTCAGCATCTCTCAGCAGTAAGGACTGCCCTCCAAGCTGAGCTGCCTAAAAGAGGCAGGTAAGTGACTGGAAGAGACTTAGCCCAACTGAGCTACCTGGAAAGGACCCTCTCAAGCCCGACCAGCTGCCTACAGACTGTGCAGTGTGTTCCAGGTTGCCAGCTTTTGTGAGCTGTCACCCGTGCTGGGATGGGCTTTGGTGAGGAGGCTGTCTTTGAGTCATTTCTGTCCCTATAAGTAACTCTTCACCCACACTTCTGTAAATAAACGCAATAAACTCATTGGCTCACCAACTGGACTAGACTTTGGTGGTAGTCTTATTTTGATCTGTCTTTGGTTTCCCATCTGGGATGAATAGGCCTTTGTCCGCATCTTCACAGGAACAGTATCACACAATACTAGTAATAAAGGGTGTGTCTAATGCTATCATGTAGGGAGTAGAATAAAGGTCTCTGTCACAGGAATTCAGGGACCCAGTCTGACTCGGTGCCATCCTGGCACAGACCACCAGGAGCGCTGTCTGAGAAGGACAATCATTCCCTATCATGTTTCACCAGCAACGGAAGGTCATATGGTCACCTAGCTTCAAGAGGAGTGAAGTACCATGATACTCCCTGCCCAGAGGGAGGACAGAATGGAACAATTCTGCCTGCAGCATTACCAGTGCTTCCATGTCGGGTGGCCATGTGTCCGCATTTGCTCAGGACTGAGGTGGTTCTAGGATCAGAATGCCCTTTGATAACCCTGGGAAAAGCCTTGGGCAGAACTGAAAATCACTGTGCCGTACTGTACAGCCTTCACAAACTGCCTTTTTACTACACAGCAACCAAACTACCCAACCCATAGCTCTCACGGCTGGAGACTTCAGTTGCTTCCAGTATTATATGTTTCTAAACCCAGTTCCAAGGTACAGAGATGGCTCGGCAGGTCAAGGGACCTGCAGGAGAAAGGGAACTAAGATAATCAGGTGGACATTGTTTAACCCCTGTTGCATACTCCCCCAGAAGGCAGAGGGAGCTGTCCCAGCCACATCACCCCAATGAGAGCTTGAACAAATAGATGTGTGGCCCCAAGGTTTCCTCTCAAGTCTTGGGCAGAATCTACCAGTGTGGTTTCTAACACGTTCCTAGGCCACGTTGAGGGTTCTGAGTCTAAGACCACACTTTTGAGATCTATCAACTTAGCCATTCTATGCCACCTGCTTGTCACCTGACAGCTGATGGCGAGGTGACTCATCCCTTCTCAGTTTCCTCACCTGTGAGTTGGGGCCCGGCTGGGAAGTAGCACATGGCAGGCTTTGAGGGGACGCCCAGGCTTGTGACGAGCTGTTGAAGACAGTGAGTGTTCTTCAGTGGTAGATTAAATAACTGCATGTTTTAAAATATTTGTTCATTTGAATGGAATTACATTTATTAAAATTTCCATGGCTTTCAGAGCTGAGTGGGAATGAATTATCTCTGTGCCGTGGCTAAGCGCGTGCGTTTCCTCTCACGCGTGAATCACCAGCTCCTGCCTTTTGCCCGTTGTCTGCAGAGCCCCTGCCCTTCCCCACCTGCTTCATCCAGAGCAGACAACCCACCCCCACAGTCTTCCTGCTTGCTGAGATGTGCCCAGAACAGAAAGCCAAAACCACTCACCCCGCTTTTGCGTTTATTCCCTCTGTCAAGGTCAAGCTTAGTGGAGGACTTGGTCCAAAATATGACAAAAAGAAAGAAAGTGGGTTTGGAGGATAGTGCTTCCTGCTTCATGATGGCTGAATGGGGAAGGGGGTGCCCTCTGACTCACTCTAAACTATCTGGTTGTGACAGAAGACAGGGTCAGGAAGTGGGGTCTCTCCGTTCTACACCCACCCCCACATTAGGCTCTGCCGTATGCTGCCATGTGCCCCTCCCCACTGGAAGGTTTCTGGGAGGTCCCATTGCCCACTACCAGCTGGAAGCAGGGGCACAGGCTTTAAGAACAGTCCCCAATTGCTCACATTCGGAAGACAGAGGCAGGTAGATCTCTGGGGGCTCTGGTCAACATAGTGAGGTCCAGGCCAGCCAGAGCTACAGAGTGAGACTGTCTCAAAACAAACCAACAAAGAGACAACTGGCCTCATAAGCCAGTATGGTGCTGCACACCTGTAATCCCAGGAAACAGGAGGTGGTGGAGAATCAGAAGTTCAAGGTCACACTTAGCTACATAGCAAGTTCCAGACCAGTCTGGGCTAGAGGAAACCCATCTCAGAACAAACCAGAATGGTCCCAGTTTTAGACAAGCCAGTTGGGTTAGCTGAATCCCATGAGCCTTGACTCTTTAGGTCCCTGTTCTCTTGTACATACTATGTCTAAGGGGCTGGAGAGATAGATGGCTCAGTGGTTAAGATCACTGGATGCTCTTCCAGAGGACACAGGTTCAATTCCCAGCACCCATGTGACATCTCACAACAGTGTTTGCAATTCCAATTCCAAGGAATGAGATACAATGTCCTCTTTGGCTTCCGCAGACACCAAGGGAGATAAACATACAGGAAAATTGCCCATACACATAAAATAAAATAAAATAAAATAAAATAAAATAAAATAAAATAAAATAAACAAAACAATGTCCAGGTCAGCAGGAATTAAATAGATCACAGCTACCACAGCCGCTAAGTGGGGCTTGCTGCTCTGTCCAGTTCCGTTCCGGGGGTGATGGCCTTTCCTCTATTTGAACTGATAATGGCCAACCCTCCAGGCAGGCTCCCACAGGGTTCCCTGAGACGCTGCCACCGCTGCCACCGAGGGAGTCCGGTGTTTAAAAGCATTTGAAACGCCACCCAGAGGCTACAGAGAGGGTAGGATGCTATTCTTTAGTCATTAAGGAAGACAACTGAAAAGATGGGGGACTGAGGCACTCGGGAAGCAGGCAGTTTCCTCAGGCACACCCCTGGTGAGAGCTCACAGTGACCCTGCAGGTGGAGGAGTCTTGAAGCTCTCAGGTCTTCCCACTGGGGAGCCGTTGGGGAAAAACCGTCTTCTAGATGGGGGACTCTGGGTTGATTTTCCTCTCGGTGCCTTCTGACTGAGCTGGGTATCCTAAGAGCGGGTTCATGTGCAGGCATCCCAAGGCGGGAGAAGGAGGTACCCAGTACAGACAAGACTAGGGAAGGGGACTCAACTTTGGACAGCACTTTGGAAGCCAAAGACACTTGCGGACCACCATCCAAGGAGCCCCAGTCCTGTTGCCAATTGCCTTAGGATAACCACCAATCAATCATTATTTTTATAGCTGGGCGGCGGTGGTGCACACCTTCAATCCCAGCACTCGACAGGCAGAGACAGGTGGATCTCTGTGAGTTCTAGGCCAGGCTGGTCTACAGATTGAGTTCCAGGGCAATCAGGGCTACACAGAGAAACCTTGTCTTGAATAAACAAAAACAAATCATGCTTTTTTTCCCCCTTTTAAGACAATTTGTTCATTTGTTTGCTTTGGGACAAGCCATCACACTGTATAGCTCAGGCTGGCCCCAAGCTCACTGCATAGCCCAGCCTGGCCTTGAATTCAAAGCCATCTCCCATTGCCCCAGCCTCCCAAGCAGTTTCTTTCATTTTATTGCGTTTATTTGGAGGGGGAGCCACAACCCAAGGCCAAGCTTTGCTTTGTTTTTTTTCTTTTCTTTCCCTTTTTCTTTTTAGACTGGATCTCACTTGCAGGGAGCCAGACAGGATCGCCATTACAAGATGGCGCCGACATCCTGTCTTGTTGGAAATAAACAACTCCATATTTGGCTATGCCTTTGAGAGCGGCGTGTCCCCCGCTTCCCGCATGCGCAGTGGATAAGGGTCCTTGAGCCTATCCCAATGCGGTCTGGTGTCAGCTGTTGGTGGCAGCCAATCACAAGGCGACCCGTGTGCCAATTCCCTATTTAAGCAGCTGCCTCAGTGCCCTCGGCCCCTCGCTTCCTGCCCCTCGTTTCCTGCCCCTCTCGCTTCCTGCTCCCCATCAATCAAGGGCACTCCAGTAAAGCGTGATCTGAGTAGAATCCTGGTGTGGTGGTTGTTCTTTCTCGCTGGTCGAGAGGTTCGCCGCACTCACTATGTAGCCCAGGCTGGCCCCTATTTTTCAGTTAGTTCTCCTGCCTCAGCCTCTGCGTGTTGGGATTACAGGTATGCACTGTTATGTTCATCTCAGATGTCTGTAAAGAGAAAGAAAACAAACATTTCCTGCCTTGTGGAATTTGTATGAGATTGGGCTTTCTGTGTTCTAGCTCGCACCGGAGTGATTGTTTTGCAATGCAGTGGGTGGAGCCCAGGGCCTCTGTGGTGCTAGGCTGCCACTGCCCACTGAGCTTCATCCTCCTCCCCTGCTACACACACACACACACACACACACACACTCCTTGGCTGTGTTTAAATACAGCCCATTTGGTGGTGGTGGTGTTTCCATGATAATAGCCAAGCTGGGTAGTTTAGCCCACAAGGTATAACTCCAAAATCCAAAATAAGAATTGTCCAGTCCTTTCTAGAATCTGGCTGCCATCCCTCACCAATGGCATGAGTGGCTCATTTCCAGCCTCAGTTTCTCATCTGAACAAATGGGAGTGCTGGTTAATGAGGGTTAAGCGCGAAGTCTGGGAAAGAGCCCAAAACTGAGCCCTGTGTGCCTTCAACACCACCCTTGAAAACACCTGTGATCTCTAACAGGTGCCAAGCACCCGCTCTTGGGTGGCCCTCACTCCCCACCATTGCATAGGGGTGAATATCTTTGCTTTCTCAGTCCCTGCTCCCTAGTTCCATCATCTCGTGCTGAGCCTCCGCCGTAACATATCCCGTCTATGGCCAAGCCTAGCTACCTTCATCTCCAGCATCCAGCATGCATTTCCTGGATGGTGTGGTTGTGAGAGGCCTGGCTGGCTGCCCTCGTCTCTGCTCACGGCTCTTCCTTCTCGTGTGTCTCTTGTTTTGGTGGTAGTGGCGGCTAGCTGGTGTTATTTTGCTGTGATTGCTTTGGTGGGACAGGCAGAGTCCCATGGAACCCAGGCTGGCCTCGAACTCGCTGGGTAGCCAAAGATGACTTGGAACTCCTTGGCCTCCTGCCTCTACCTGCCTAGAGTTGGAATTATCGGCATTTGCCCCTACATCTTATTTATGCGGTGCTGAGAATTGAACCCATAGCTTCACACATACTAGGCAAGGACTCTACCAGCTGAGCCATGTGTCTAGCCACTTTCTTTTACATCCCATACTCTCAAGACAGGTGGCCTGCAGGCTTCTGGCTCCTTTCTCCCCTTCCCATGGAGGCCACAACCTCAGTCAGCACCTAAATGTCCAATACAATCTTTCTCTGATCTAACCACTACAGTCTGCTCTTCCTGTGCAGTGGATGGGTCTTTGTCCTTGAATTCTCTTCCTTATTCATAGTCCAGCGTGGGCCCACATCATCTGCTTGCCCCTCCCCCAAGTCTCATAGCAAGCCCCAAGTCCTGGACACCTTTATAGATCTGCCCCAATCTCACGGCTGCCCCTGGTGAAATCTTGCTGTCTTTATGAATATGCATGAGCCTCTCCTGTTGCCCTTATGAATATTCATGTGTATCTACTGGTGCTCCTGTTAGCCCAGGGAGCACCAGGACCTGAATTGGTTTTTCTGAACCTTCAGTCCCAGCAAAAGTGTGGACCAGACTTAGCTAACTATGTAATAAATGAAAGCCAGATGGGAGTGGCGCATACCTGTAATGCTGCATCCCAGAGCTGAAGAAAAATGTGACTTGGAGGCCAGCCTGGGCTACAGAAGCAAGGCAAGCACTCTACCAACTGAGCCTTGTCTCCAGGTCCTTCCTTTTCCATCCCACACTCTCAGGATAGGTGGCCTGCCCCCTGTCTCAAAAAGGAAAAACTAAATGAAAAAGAATGAAATAAGTAACGAATACAGCTAGGATCTCCACTCCCCTCTTTGGCTCAACAACCTTCCGAATCTCCTGATTCCTGCTCTGAAGGCTCAAGCTCTATGCCTATTGTCCTTGTTCACCTGTTTGTACCTGTGGGGGCTGTGGTCCTCCTTGGAAGCTTCGCGGCACTTCAGGAATCCAGGAATATCAGAGAGTACGAGAATATAGAGACTCTGCCCCCATGTCAGAATGTCAGGATGTCAGGCTGGGTGGATTCTGCCAGCTCTCCCACTAGGGATGGGCCTCACCTCCCCAAAGAAGACCAGGAGGGCCTCCCTGGCTGCTGGGTTTGATGAGCAGAGGTTTGAAGTTCCGGGTTGGCAGTGTTCAGCAGCAGTGTGATGTGTTGTCTGGCCCGAGCTGGACTAACTTATCCTTCTCCGACCCCAGATTGAGGCTCAGGCAGCCACCCCGGAGCACCCCCACAGCCTCCTCCCAGCCCTCAGCCTAACCTCTCTGCCTTGCTCCTTCACCCGAATAGCTCCTGCAGCTCGCCTGCGACTAAGGCCGCTGTGGGTAGAATGCCAATGAGGCCAGGCCTAAAGCGCCCATCTGGAGACCAGAGACCAGGCAGAGGTTTAGAAGGAAGAGGGTGAGGAGGCAGGGCCAGGACAGAGGGCAGGGCTGGGGTGGGAACCACAGTCCAGGAAACAGGTTGGGACCAGGACCAGGCTCACTGTAAAACTACCCCCAAGGTCAAGAAAGGAGACAGGGGGGGGAGAGGGGACTGTCCCAGAACGGGGGGGGGGGGACTTAGGGGTTGGGGAGACAGAGAGATGCAAGAGTATAAAAAAGCAAAGAACCATACCAGTGCCTGAGTATACCAGCCTTCTTCACCTGTGGTTAAGGAGGCTAGAGATTCTGCAGGCCTAGGCAGAAGAAAACCTATTCCAGGCCTGGAGGAAGCAGGGCAGAGGTCAGGATAATTAAGAAAGCAGGTGTGGCCAGAGCACACAAATCAGAAAGACACCAGCCTGCCATGCTTACTGGCCCAGAGTCCTGCTGGTCACCCGCCCTGCCTTTACCTACCCTGGTGCCCTGCCTGATCCCCTCCCCTCCCACCCCACCATTCTCTCAGCCAAGATGTATCCTGCTTTATCCATCTCTCCAGCCCAGCCTCCCTCAGCAGGGACTCTCTCTCCAACCTTAGGGTTCCATGCTACTGCCCTGGTGTCCTGGTGGGCCAGGGTATAAGTTGTTCCCACTAACTGTTTTAAGACCTCACAGTGCCTCCCCAGAGAAGCCTCTGGGCCTACTGGTGAGGCTTCTAGGATTGGGACGTGCCTGGGTCAAGTTCAGTTCAAGGCCCTGGGACTCCAGCTGCACACAGTAGGTGCTTCACACACGCCAGGGCCTTCCTCCTGCTACGTCATAACGTGTGTGCATAGCAGGTGCCAAAGATGGCTCTTGAGCTGAGCTAAGGTGACTCCTTTGGGGAGGCATAGGTGCCACCGCTGTTGGTGGTCTCCCAGGCAGTCCAGCTTGGGAGACAGCTCATGCTCCTTGAGTCTGCAGCTGGGGCAATCAATCGGTTGCCATGGAAACCAGCCACGAATCAGAGGCAGGCACTTCTTGGCTAAGCCAGCACCACCTACCCACCCACTCAGGCCTGGCTGCGAAGGTCCCTCACTTGGATCTGATGGAGAAGGTACAGAAAGGGAAGGAGTTGGGCTCTGATATAACTCGGAACTTCAGTATGCACCCTCAGACTCTGCGACCCCCAATGACTAGGTGGTATCTTGCGGGGACTGACCCTCCCAAGTAGTCCCCTCCCCTCGGGTTTTTACAAGGCTCACCCCTTACATTGCAGCAGCAGTTCTCAACCTGTGGGTCATGGGGGGGGGTCGAATAACCCTTTCAAGAGGGTCTGTATATCAGATATTTACATTATGATTCATAACCATAGCAAAATTATAGTTATGAAATAGCAATGAAAATAAGTTTATGGTTGGGGGTCCGCACAACATGAGGAACTGTATTAAGGGGTCGCAGCACTAGGAAGGTTGAGAACCACTGCATTATAGCCATACCTGTTGTTACTTAGAGCAAGACCTGAGGGGAGGGGCCCTGGGCCTGTTGGGCAGAAGGGAAAGCTGAGACACAGTTCGGGAGTTCTGGCAATGTAGGTCTAAGCCCTCTTCCTGAGCCCCAACTCCCAGTCTCCCCTCCCCAGACGGAGAGATGAAGGCAGTGAAAAAGGAGGGGACAGAGGAACTCTGCCTTCCCACCAGATCAGAACTTGAACTTAGAACTTCCTGTTCCCATTCATGCTAGGCCTACCAAGGGCCATTAGCCAAGCCTGTGGGCCTGCTCCCTCCTGCCCACCCACGCAGCTGCAGCCTCTGACTCCAGCAGAGAGGCCAGAACTGGGCAGAGCCCTGGCTCCGTGTCAACCCAACCAAGCCCAACCCTAGGCTCCTAGCTGGGAGAAGCCCGAGTTTCTCCGTTTGCAAAATGGGAGTGATTGTCTCTGCCTCACTGAAAAGTAATGAGAAGCCAGCTCAAGGGCAGAGAAAACTTGACACGGTATCAGGAATGTCATCTAGACTTCTTGGACATGAGCATGAGCATGAGGCCAGTTCGCCCACTCAGAACCCAAAACTGCCCCTCCCCAACACGCCCACCTCGCTGGAGGGGCAAGAAGATGAACACTACTACTATCCACAACCAGCCAGGGACAAAGAGAATGGCAGGTCCGTGTAGAGATGCCCAACAAGACTCCAGGCACAGCTAGCAAGGGGTCCGATGCTACGCGAGTCTGTCTGGTTGCTGTTGTTATGCCCAAATCCATGGGGTCCCCACAAAAGCCAACAAAGGAGACTGAGTCCCATATGTAAAAGCAAAGAGCCTTTATTTTAATCGAGTTTGCAAACTCGATATTGGAATAACCAGAGAGCCCTGAGCTCAATTAGAATTGGGTTTATATAATAGTAAAGGTGGGGTTCAGGACCCCTGATTGCCTGACATTTGTCTAGGGGTGTCCTGGTGAGGTGTGCTGGCAGGTGATCCTATCTGGCATTTCTTTTGAATGGTCTGCTCTTGGGTGGGGGTCAGGTAATCTCAGCTTGTGGGGTTTTCCTGCTACCAGGTATTGCTTCAGGGTAAACTACTGAGACTCAGGCCTCTTATTTAAATTTACCGATGGCCAGAGTCCCAGGTGATAATGGTTGGAAGTAAAGGACTTCCTTCGGGTGACCTGCCCAGACTTAGACTATCATGGCTGGCCCCCACGGCCACCACTGCTGGGAGGGAAGTTCAGTGGAACAGGATAACAGACTCCTCGAGAACTGCAGAGGGCCCAGCACCGTCACCGCCACCACCGTCACCAGGGAGCAGGCCAAGACCTTCATCCTAAAATCCATAATCCCAACCCCAGCTCTGTCTGCTGGGATCCAGAGTCTGTGGCCCAAGCCTTGCTCAGCAGGGTGCTCGGGCCCAGTCCCACCCTAACTGACACCCCTTTCCTCTTCCCCTCAGCGTGGACCTACTACATTCCGGAACAGTGAGAGGCACATTTTCAGGGCATGGGGCAGCCTCACACTGGGTTGTCCCCTTCTTAGCCATGAGGCTGGCACAGAGACCTGTGGATTTCTCATGGTCGTGCCGCTGGTAAATAAATGGCAGAGGCAGGGTTTGGACCCAGGTGTGAGAGGCTTCAAAGCCAGTCTCTAAGGAAGATGCTGGGGTCTCCTTCCTGGGGCTTCGCTCCCTCTCTTCCTCCCTGTGGCTCCCGGAGAGCAGGATGAAGCAACAGGACCCAGCTATCCTCTCTCCAGGTCCTGCTCCTTTCCTTCAGAAAACAAATGGATACACCAATTATACTTTAGTCTTTGCGGGGGGCGGGGGGAGTGTGCTGACTGGCACTCCGGTAGAAAGCAGGTCTGTGATCAGCCCCAGGGCCAGGTGCCCTCCCCAGCCAGGGCACTTTTCCACATTCTAGAACCTCCCGTGATTAAACACTAATTGCTGCCACGCTCTCAAATTGAAGACTTTAATTTTCCCCCGAAACGAAAAGTACATTTCAATCAGTTCCCTCTCCCAAACCATTCCTCCTCAGGAGCTAGGGTGGAACACAAGCCCCCGGGGACCAAGGAGGAAGCTCACACACACACACACACACACACACACACAGCTTGCCATCCCCTCCCCCTCTCCCCTTCCCCTGTCTACAGCAGGGTCCTAGGCACTTGGAGTGTGGGAAGAACACTAGAGAGGCCCAGGAGCTGTTGGAGGTAGCACATACCTGGTACCCCAGCATTTGGGAGGCTGATGCAGGAGGATTGCCTTGAGTTTTAGACCAGCCTGGGCTACATAACCAAAAACATCACCCCTGGCCTCTAAGAGTAAATCTGGGCAAGGGATTCAACAGGACAGAGAGGCTGGGCCCAAGATCCTCTTCTGTCAGGGCCGAGGCTGAACCCTGAGTCAATACCCTGGGGTCCTTTGTTTTGCCCTTCATAGGAGCAGTTTCTGGGCCTGCAGATTCCCTGGGGTGGGGGTGGGGGTTGGGGAGCGAGTGTTTTGGTTCACATTGGGTGTGAGGAGGGGTCAGGAATGGGCAGGGTGCTGACATGCAGCTAGGGTTTGAAAACTGCTAAATTGGGGGACGGGTGTGAGCTAATGTGGACACAGAGAGGGTGAGTATACACCCCAAGGTCACATAGCAAATCAGAGGGTCAGGCCTGATGGAGGCTAACAATCTCTTCCTTTTCTGGATATTTTCAGAGAAGCCGGTGAGCAGAAAGAATGACAGGGCATAATGGCAGGTGCGCAGGCCCAGCTGTTCCAGAGGATGAGGCAGGAGGATCCCTGGAGCCAGGAGTTTGGGAATTCTTCTGATTTTATATGCTGTAGGCATCAGAAAATTAAGAGGGCTGGGAAGTCCTAGTGATTTCTCCAAGGTCTCCAGCATCAGCCACAGCAACGACTGACTGGGCCCCTGCTAAAGACGAGACCATCGTTCAAGGCATTTCACCTTCTTCCTAATCTGGTTCTCTTGCTCCTACCCAGTTCACAAACAGGAAAACTTCCCTGCAGGAATCCAAACCTACAGTGACTCTATCAGACCACTGGCTAGGACCAAAGGTGGGCTAGCCCAGGGCCCAGCTAGGACCCAGAATGGGTGTGCCCAGGACTCAGCACTCAAAAGCTGTGCTCTCACGCCTCAGTGAAGCTGTACTAGGGTCAAGGGGATCCCGGGACCTCCACAGGGAAGGACAGAACTTTCATATTCTGATACCGTCTGCCCCCCCCCCATGCACCCATTTTCCAGACGGCACATGCCAGCTCCAGTGGCCTGCAGGGGAACTTGAACAGGGATGGGGCAGGTGGGGTGGGAGGTATGGTCAGCCTGGTGCTCTACTCCGAGGAGAGGAGAGGAGAGGAGAGGAGAGGAGAGGAGAGGAGAGGAGAGGAGAGGAGAGCCCACCCACCTCCCCACCCCCAGCCATCTCTCTTGCTTTTCTTTTTCATCCCTTGCCTCTCTCTGGACAATTACCCTGACTGTGCTAGCCCACACCATAGGTGTATTGTGACGGCTGAACATCCTGCCGCCAGGCAATGTGACTCCAGACCAGTGA